TCCCCTGGAGCTGACACCCTGAATTTGGACTTTTAGCCTACTTTGACTGTGAGGAAATAAACTTCTCTTTGTTAAAGTCATCCACTTGTGGTATTTCTATTATAGCAGCACTAGATGACTAAGACAGTCACGCACTAGCCCAAAAGGGATGGTCCTTTCCCAGTGGAGATTGTTAGGCTGTAGTAGAGTAACCGTGTGGCTGTGGCCAGTGGATAAATTCCTAATCAAACCGTTCCCATCCCTCACCGATGGTGCAAAGCAAAGGTACACGGTATGTCTGGCATTACTTTTATTTTGTCCAGAGGATTCGCTTTGGAATACATTTAGCATAGTCTGGAAACATCACAGAAGCAAAAATATATAGGGAGATAAGTAATATGGAGGCAGAATACTTGATGGTGTTATGTGGCCTGCCACTCTAGGGAAACCCTGAATCAGTTGGAGACTGCCTCATGATAATTGTGCTCTTTATACATCTGAGGGGTAGGGGCACGAGAGAAATTATAGACCACGCTGCAGACTGCACTAACTGAGCCTGTCCTAACCTGGTCTAGGAAACAGCGATATAGGGGCTGAATTTTTTTTTTTTTTTTTTTTTCATTTTAAAAATCTCTATTTGACTATCTTGGCAGTCCAGAATTTGTTTTCAGAGAAAGAAGAAGTAAAAAACCGGTGGAGAAGACTCCTGTCTTTCAAGCATGCCCTTGGGCTGTATATAAGAATCCTAAGGAGTGGTAGGTGTTGGTTATCCTGCCTATTATCTGAGAAACTTGGACCTGGAAGAGATGGTTACCTGCAAGCCATAGCATGAACTTCATCTCTTGAGTCTCACCAACGTAAAAGAAAGACTACAAACAGTCTGATGCTACGAACAGTTCACTAGCGTTAAACTGGGCCTGGGCAGCGCCTGTTTGGAAGGTGGGCTGGTTTAGAGGACCCTGCTTCTCTTAGGGTTGAGTGAAAACAAACCAAAAAACAGCATGTTGTAAACCTGAGTCTCATGATGGTAAAATTCAGATTTATAGTAACAGTGGACCAACCAGCTTTTTAAATACTGATCAGAGAAGGGATGGCTTATTTTTAGCAGAGATTTAAGAAAAAGCAAGCCTCAGACCTACCACTCGCTTACAATTTTGCTGGGTGCTAATTAATGTGATCTTTCTGTCTACGTACGTTGGACTGTTTTCAGAAAGTATAATGGGTAAGCCCTCATGATCCTTGTGCTGTGTTTACAGGAGTGGCAGGCTACCATCTTTCCCAGCTTGGGTCCTGCTTTGGCTCAGAAGACTCTTATGGCTAATATTTGATAGCTCTCTGGAGTAGCCAATCCTATGTCTGCATAAGATATGTAGATAAAAAACTTTTGGTTTTTAACTGATTTTTTTCAGCCACGTTTGTATATATATGAATTTTCCTCACCAAAGATGACTTCAAGTTCTAGTAAAATCATTTTTACAACTCTCCTAAATATACTTCTCTGTGACGTTTCATTTCTCAGATTATTTCTTTTGGTAGGATTTAAAGCTAAAAAATTCAGCATGATCGTGTCCTTCCTTTTCTTTTTAATTATACGAGGAGTGAGAATCGATGTGATCAGCAGTATATAATAGTTCAGTTTTCACAAGGAGGTAAAAAGTTTTTGCATAATTCAATCAGATTCTATTGTAGGACTCAGTTCAGTTTTAGGAAATGCTTTTACTTTCAATGAAATGATGAAGTGTTCGAGTTGTAATATTGCCTTTATGATTATTCACTTTTTTAAATCTAAAACGAAAACGAAATAAAAATATTTTTACAGTATAATTTTTATGGCTGTGTGTTTACTTAATTCATCTTCTTAGTCTCCAGTTTGCCGTTTTTAATGATGACAGCAGTAGCATCATTACAGTTTTCAATTCAGATTACATTCCTGTATTCTGTATTGTTGTAAACCGTGTAAGTTATATCCAAAACAATGGATATTTTGAACATGCTGTACAACTTAATATCCAATGTAATCTCTTAAAGCTATTAAAGTATTATATTAGAAAGTAAATATTACCTAAATGAACTTCTGAAATAAAAGATTCACAAGTAAAAACTGTCTTTGTGTTCAGCCATTTCTGTACATACTTATTAATATCATGTTAAAAGTGCTCATCCGATGCTCTAAAAATAGAAGTCACTGCTTTTCATCAGTCTCTGAACTCTTGACAGGATGTAGATATAATTCTTTAAGTAAAATGGCTCACGCTGACATAAATTTATAGAGCAAATAATATCTCCTAAAACAATCATACAGGCAAAGATAGGTATAACATATCTTTACCTGTTTTAGCTGTTCTCCATTGCTGTTACAAGTAATTCCACAATTTTAGACTCCTTAACTGAAGCGGTCACAATTTTTTTTTTTTTTTCATTTCTGGACTTTGAATACAAGTATTCAGTTTTAGTATTTGGCAGGAATGATTAGTTTAGCATTAATATCACATAGAATGTATACTTTTAGAGTGACATAATGAGTAGCTTAAGATACACAAGTTGAGCAGGGGAACCAAGAGACCTGAATTCTAGCCTGGCTCTGTGACCTTGGGCAGTTCACTCTCCTCTGTGTGTGTTTTCTCAGTAGATAGAAGGGTTTGAACAGAATGGTTTCTGGGACCTAGCCAAACCTTTCATTCTCCACATGTTCTAAATAACTGGAGCTTTTTTATTTCAGCCATTTAGAAGAGAGCTTTTTTGGCACCGTTATAACGCTCTACTGCTTTCTGGAATTGCACAATAAATGTTTATCTTTGTCTTTATGTTTCAGTGTCATTTTAAATACCAGTATTGGACTTTAGTTTCTTGATACCCAGAGAGTTCATTGAGGATAGAAAACAGAACATTTGCTTTTTTTTGTTATGGTTCCATACTGTTGTGGTTTTGCGGCCTTTTGTCTGTTTAAGGAGTCCTGATAGCGCAGTGGAAACTCTGGTGGCGCAGTAGTTAGCTGCTAACCCAAAGGTTGGTAGTTCAAATCCACCAGGTGCTCCTTAGAAACTCTGTGGGGTAGTTCTGCTTGTCCTGAAGGGTCGCTATGAGTCGGAATCGACTCCACGTCAACGTGTGTGTGTGTGTGTGTGTGGTGTGATAGCGCACTGGTTGAAGTGCTTGACTGCTAATCAAAAAAGGTCTGTGGTTCGAGCCCACCAGCTGCTCCGTGGAAGAAAGATGTGGCAGTCTGCTTCTTTAAACATTCACAGCCTTGGAAACCCTATAAGGCAGTTCTACTCTGTCCTGTAGGGTCGCTGTGAGTCATAATCTACTTGACAGCAGTGGGTTTGGTTTTTTTGGTCTGTTTCATTGAATATAAGTGACAAGTTACTATGTCTCATAAAATTATATCATGCAAACATTTAATGTGTACCTGTCTTGCTAGTTGAGTATCTATATCCTGGTAGGAGACATGCTTCCAAATCTTTTTTGACTGAAGAGTAGAAAAACACATAAGCCTAAATCACTTGAGTTTTTGATGATTGTCTTTAAGATTGCAGAACCTAATCACTTGTTTTATATGTTATTGCTTAGAAATCTCTGGAACATTTGGATAATGTGACAGTTGCGATGCAGTGATGTCGACTCTCTGTCCGCCACCATCTCCAGCTGTTGCCAAGACAGAGATTGTATTAAGTGGTGAATCACCTTTACTAGCGGCTACCTTTGCTTACTGGGACAATATTCTTGGTCCTAGAGTAAGGCACATTTGGGCTCCAAAGACAGAACAGGTACTTCTCAGCGACGGAGAAATAACTTTTCTTGCTAACCACACCCTAAATGGGGAAATCCTTCGAAATGCAGAGAGTGGAGCTATAGATGTAAAGTTTTTTGTCTTGTCTGAAAAAGGAGTAATTATTGTTTCTTTAATCTTCGATGGAAACTGGAATGGGGATAGGAGTACATATGGACTGTCAATTATACTCCCACAGACGGAACTTAGCTTCTATCTCCCACTTCACAGAGTGTGTGTTGATAGATTAACACACATTATTCGGAAAGGAAGGATATGGATGCATAAGGTAAGTGCTTTTGAACTTACAAATCATGCTAACCTAGCCATTCAAAGTTTATCTTCTGATACATTTGTATCTGATTTTTCAAAATTTTATCCAATTAGCTTAAAAAAAAAATCTTATCATGTATTTTGTGTCTGCCTTATTAGATATAGATAGATCTAGTCTGGTATCTGTGATCTTCATAATAACCTTGCAAGGAACGGGGTGGTAGCTCCACATTACAAGTGAGATGCTAAAGCTTAGAAAACTTAAGAAACATAGTAAGTTTTAGATTTGTGTTGGGAGCCTTTGACTCTAAAAGCTATATACTGTTCTGCATTGTACAACCCTTTTACTTAATACTGTGGGCGTAGGGATAAGCAATTAAAAACAATTGTTTCATAAGCGGTTAGACATGTAGCCTTTGGCTCTTTTAGCTTCTTTGCCAGGTTCCCAAGTCTGTAAAGTGAGGAAGTTGGACTAAATGATTTCTGAGAAATATTTCTTTTTAATTTTGCAGATTAAGCTACAGAAAATTATTGTTACCCCTAAATTCTGTGGTTCAGTGTATATAGTGATATTTACATTTCCATATACCTTTGGCAGTTTGAAAGAACAAATTTAATTCTCCTTCCTGTTTTCCAGTTTGGTACGAACCTGGAAGTCTATTTAAGCATTATTAACTTTACAAGACTTTTACCAGATAGAAAAGAAAAACAGTATCTTTCCTAAGAATAGTTTTTTTTGTTTATTTTTTTACGTGTTTTCAGGCTTGCTTTCTTATTTCTCATATGTGTATGAAAATCATTTAAAATCAGGAAGCTCTGTCTTCTCCAGATAAAACATGATCTTTTTTAATTTGAAAAGTTCAAGTCATTTTCCTTTGTGTAACTATACAGATGTTAATTGAGTGTTCTCTGCTTAATTATCTGGTGTTGGCTTTAGAATAAAGGATGTTTTTATTTTATTTTGTATTGTCTATGAGAGCGTGGATTTGTTGGATTAATTTCCTGCCCTTTTTTATTTTTGTACCCTAAAGTGGAAAGTATTTTTCCCATGAACTAGATACACAAGAACATAAGTCAGCCATTTAAGTTTTGAAAAATAAACATTTTTAGAAATTATTATTAAATAAACTTTCTCTTGCTCAGGAAAGGCAAGAAAATGTTCAGAAGATTGTCTTAGAAGGCACAGAGAGAATGGAAGATCAGGTAGTATGCATCTATCAGATAACATTCTTCCCACTACATACGCCTGTAAAAGGCTGATGACGCCTTTTGTTAAGCCCAAGAAGACATATTCCTTGGACAGAGTGAGCCTGAAAATGAACAGAACCTTTATGGAGATGTGCAGAATAAACCTGAATAAAAATTTTCATATCTTAGGCTAGAAGAGTTAAATAAATAAAGGATAATATTAATTGTATCTACAAATTAATATTTTGCTATGTATTTTCTCTGCACAGAAAAAAGTTTTAGATAACTTATTCATAGGAAAAATCAAAATTTTTATATGCACTTTCTTTAAGGTATTGCTTCTCAAACATTTCCATGGAAGTCGCTGTAACAGTAGGAGATGGTGGGAGGTGTAGCCTTAGATGTCCGAAAGTGCAGTCACAGCTCTAAGCACAATATTTCTCTGAAGTCTGGTGTTGTATCTTTAAAACTCATTTAAGTTACATTTTACTCCATGACATATCTATTCTTTTTAATATTGAAGTTTGCCAGTGATATTCCGCTCTCATCCCCATTACCCCCCGAGTTTCCAATACCATTGATTCTCTAGGAAAATACATCATGTTTATCCCATGGCTTTGAATATCCTTGGGGAGCAGGCACCAGGTTGAAGAAGCATGATTGTAGGAACATGGCTTCCCTTGTGGAAATAAAATGCAAACCCTTTCTATAGGACAGAGAAGTTCTCCTGAAACGAAATCTCCAATGGAGAAAGAGTTCTTTAATCCTATTACCCCTGGCATGTCACCCTCATTACTCCCTTTTGTAAAACTCTAGTCTAAACATGCTTGGATTGCCTTTTATCTGGTTCCTCATAACATGAGTAAAACAGATGATACTTTAAAAAATAACTTTTCCAAAAACTTACGAAAGTACAGGGACATAAGCAAGGAAAATACAGAACCCTATAAAATGTTCTCCTTTACAAAATTGATATGTTTGTACTTTTGTAAATAGCTTTCCAGGCCAGTGGAGGTAATTCTGGGGTGAAGTCTTGTTAAGAAAAGATTTTCTTTTGTTAGGAGATACCCAGCTTTCACTTGTCGTGGTCAATAAGTAGAGTCCCCAGGTAAAGGGTGACTTGACTCTCATCAACCTCCAGGAGTACCCGGAGGTTATGGAGTAATATAGTAGAATTATCTCAAGATGGAAATTTAGAACCCAGTGAAATTCTGCCTTTACTGGGATTTTTTTTTTTCAAACCAGGAACTTGTACTTATAAAATTGACCGCTTTTAATTAATTTCTGTAGTTACCTTTCTTTTAAGGGTTCTTGAAAATGTTATCCTACCCCATCTATGTCTGGAGGAAAGTACATTTGGGACAAACTTATTCTGGAGTTTTTAAAGGGGACACATCGTCCTGCTGAGAAGTTCAAGTTAGTGAAGTCCAAGGAGGAAAAGAAACTTGAGGACTTTTCAGCCTTACAGGATTTTTTTGTTGAGCTTCAATGAGGAAATTCATTTGCTGAGATAACATTTATGAAGTACCATATATGTCTAAATATAAGGGAAGGTATTTTCCCAAAAAGGAGCCCAGGTGGCGCAGTGGTTAAGTGCCCGGCTGTTAACTGAAAGGTTGGTGGTTCAAACCCACCAGCTGCTCCGTGGGAGAAAGATGTGTCCATAAAGATTTACAGCCTTGGAAATCCTATGGGGCAGTTCTACTCTCCCCTGGAAGGTCACTGTGAGTTGGAATTGACTCGACAGCAATGAGTTTGAGGTTTATTTTTCCAAAATTATCCTTTCTGAAAAGTCTTTGCAAATTTCTCATTTGTGCGTTCTACAACTTTATTGAGCAATAAATACTGTTTGGGAATGACATATTAGACTAAAAGAAAAAAACCCAATTAATCAGTGCTAGTTTTGGATGCTTATCGCTGTCATCTGATAAAATCAGTTTACAAGGAAGCAAATTTAACAGTCTTTATTGGGTTGCGTGTGTTGGATGTAATTGTAAAGTGTTTTAAGGATTATTTTAAAAAGCAAAACAATAAATGATTGTGTTGTGGAGGATACTACAGAATAAATTTAAAATAATAAAATTTTCTATGTTATGTAGAGGGGCTTCTGGCTTAGGCTAAAATTTCAAGAGACAGCATCACATTTAAATTCTCAAGCAACTGACATGATAAGGGACTCTGAAAAAATGAGTTGGATTAGCCAGGAAATGGCTCTAGTGATGACAGAGATTCTAATGTTGAAGGTGCATATGAAGAGTTTTGATAACATTGTTTCATGAAATGTGAGTGAGGAAAAAACTATTGTTAAATTAATCTTAAGCAATACGTGATTAAAAAATATATTTTTTAGCTAAAAATTGATACATTTGACAGTTTCATCTACATCTCTAAAGGATTACATATTCAAGTTGATCAAGAAACTGGGGGTATTGAATAAATGAGGGATCACTATAACATTTGTGTTATTCTGTGTTGTCTTAAATTTGATTTCTACAGACTGAAAATTTCAAAATTACTTTTTTGAGATGTAGTAAGTAAGTAATACTACATCATTTTTGAGATGTAGTATTACCTTGAAAGAACTCTAAAGGAAACGTTTCTGTTTTATTGCTTCTTAAATGTAAGTAATGATGTTGATTTACATTTGGGTAGATTGTACCCTATTTGAATGTGGAGGTTGAGTATTGATTCAAGCTTTTCTACCAAATTATTTGCTAAGGATTTCAAAGGTTTTCTAGGCTTGGCTTGCCTCATTTTTTGATATGAAATGCATAGATGACCTTTAATTAACAAGGGGTTTTAGATCTTAAATTTCAAAGGAGATTCTTTTTAAGTTTAGCACAGTGATTTAATTATTGCATGTAATGGTAAATGATAAATCAGTGATTCTGTGCTGACTAAAGAATATTATTCTTAGAAAAATGAAAATAAGCTTTAAATAGCATATAAATTCTTTAGAAATTATTTGAAATAGTAAACTTGTTTGGGGCAATGTTTGAACAAGTTACCAAGTATTTCCATCAAAGAGTTTTCATTTTTATTGTATTGCCCAGCTTATCCCATATTGTGTGATTTTCTTCACATCATTTTACTCTATTATGCAGGGTCAGAGTATTATTCCAATGCTTACTGGGGAAGTAATTCCTGTAATGGAACTGCTTTCATCAATGAAATCACACAGTGTTTCTGAAGAAATAGATGTAAGTTCTTATATTATTAGATAGAAGTAATTGTACCCTTTATCAATTCTCTTTAGTTATATTATTATTCTGTATATTAATTATATTCTAATTTTAGTAGTATGCATTTTGTTATGTCATATCAGCTGCGAGAAACCTCTTTAAAGGGTCAAAAAGCAAAGGTGTTGCTTTGAAGACAAAGGTGCTCTGACCTACCTCATGGTATTTTCAATCACCTCATATGCATGCGAAAGCTGGGCAATTAATAAGGAAGGCCAAAGAAGAATTGATGCTTCAGAATTACGGTGTTGGCAAAGAATATTGAATATACCATGGTCAGCCAGAAGAAAAAACAAATCTGTCTTGGAAGAAGTACAGCCAGAATGCTCCTTAGAAGCAAGGATGGCAAGACTTCATCTCACATACTTCGGACATGTTATCAGGAGGGAACAGTCCTTGGAGAAGGATATCATGCTTGGTAGAGTAGAGGGTCAGTGAAAAAGAGGAAGACCCTCAACAAGCTATGGAATGACACAGTGGCTGCAACAGTGGGCTCAAACATGGCAATGATTGTGAGGATGGTGCAGGACCAGGCAGTGTTTCATTCTGTTGTACACAGGGTCGCTATGAGTTGGAACCGACTAGATGACACCTGACAAAAACGGCATACATTATAAGAATTATTATCCGCTTTGACAAAAAGCACATGTAAAATCCTGAATTTTGTGGCCACAAACTTTTTTGATTAGCAGTAGGGTAAAATTAAATGTATTTAATTCATTTCACCACTTTTGTATTTCCTAGAAGTGGGAGAGTTCCAAACCTTAGAGCAGCAATCAATATTTAATGTAGTGCTTTTTGTAGCAGAGCAGTGTACAAATCAGTGGCTGTTAATGTAAGTTTGCTTATATTCACTAATTTAGTTCCCTTAATTGTTTATTGAGGACATTTTAAATCAGGCACTATGTGTATATAGAGATGTCTTTAAGAAGTTATTCTTGTTGTGCTCTAATTTTGTCATTAAGCCTTGTCTCCTGGTTCTGACAAGAAGAGGAAGTTGTTGTTGTAAAAATTATTGCTTGACCTGTCTGACCAGCTTTCACGTTTGTTCTTCTGAAAGTACATAGTAATGCACACAGAGGTTGTTTTACGGGGTCTTTTGATGCTCAGTAATGAGGACGATGTGTTATGCAGGACCTAGATGTCAGAAAACCTGGAAGTGTTATTTCAGCATTATGATATAGCCAGACTAATTGTCTTTTTGGTGTGTTTTAGATAGCTGATACAGTACTCAATGATGATGATATTGGTGACAGTTGTCATGAAGGCTTCCTTCTCAAGTAAGAGTTTTGTTTCTTCTCATAAAAACTGGATGAAGCAGATATTAATCTTATGCTCACCTATGACAAGATTTGTAAGGAAGAAAATATAACCCAGATTATTCTGAGGACAGCAATTGCATTTCTAACTGTTGCTTATCTTAGTGTTATTTTTCATTCATTACATGTCTGCGACATATTTTATGTTCTACTGTTTAATATATAAAGAAGCTGAGTTTCCATAGTACCCAAACAGGAAATCTTGGTCCCTTATTTGGTTCTGGTTTCTTGTTTTACTTCTCATTGAAGTTGAAACTAAGAACCCTTTCAAATTAAATTCCACTGTGAATGGGCTTAAGTTATTTAGGCCTAGAAAAGAAAATTATTCATATTTGTACTGATCCTTTCCATCTTAGAGTAGAGCTTAGTACTTAAGACTGTTGGCTGGAAAACCAGACTTCTTGGGTTACTCCTGTAACCCTGGGCAAACTACCTGAACTCTCTGTGCCTCCATTTCTTCATCTATAAAATGGGAATAATAATAGTATCTACTTCATAGGATTGTTACAAGGATTGAATGAGATAAATCACATAAAGCACTTACAACAGCACTTGACATGTAATAAGCACTTAATTATAGCTATTAGCTAATATTTTCTGTTTATATTTCTTGAAAATGATAATCAATAGCCAATATTTTTTGAGTGCCTGCATGTTAATTCCCATCCTAAGTGCTACATGTATTATCTCGTCTTCTGTTAGAGTGTTTCTTTGTGATTGCGGGTTATCATGAAATATTATTTTTAAAAATGAGGAGTGAAAGGATAAAGTATTCGCTTTTATGTCGTCAGTCTTTTCCTTTAGGCTCACAGTGAAATATCAGAAGTGTGATAACCTATAACCTTAATGACTTGAATCAGAAGCACTTTAGTCCTCATTCTGCTTAGTCATGGCCATATATATTTTTTTAATCCAATTTGACTTTAAATAAATCGCTTAACCTCTCTACACCTTAGTTTCTTCAGCTATAAAATGGTACTGTTTTGCTAACTAGATTGTTTTCAGGTTCAAGTAAGAGAATCTCTATGCAAGGCCTCTGGAAAATGTAAAGTACAAATAAAAAATGGCATTGTGCTTATAGCCTTGGTGTTCATCTTGTAAAGCTATTCTCAGTTATTTGCAACTCAGTTGTGTTTGTTCATTTTTTTTAGTTTGTGAAATTGTTTTGTGGTCTATAGTTTTAATCTTTTCTTTTTTTTCACCTTCCAGTGCCATCAGCTCACACCTACAAACATGTGGCTGTTCTGTAGTCGTGGGTAGTAGTGCAGAGAAAGTGAATAAGGTAATTTATTTTTTAATTCAGCAAATGATCTCACTTTTTAGTACTGCTAACATATCATAGATTGTAATGTAAAGGTTAGGTAGCATTAAAATGTTTTAGTAGTATAGAGAGGCACTATAATCTGACCAAATTGCTGTGACATCCTGTGGGAAAAGTAAGTTTGAAATAAACTGTTTGGGTATGAAGTTATTTATCAGTTTCATTTTGATAACTCATAAATACAAGGCTCGGTTGTATATAAATGGTTTTGAACATATTTTAAAGTATTTTTTTAAATATTAATTAAAATTAGGTATTTTAAAATATATTTGTTTTCTATTTCCTTATGTTATCTGTAATAAATGTGAAGATAACCATGTGTCTTTGGTACTAGTTCCAAAGAAATGTTATTTGATCAGTCTTCTTGACTTCATTATCTTGGTTTTCTCCTTAAATCCATCTCTTTTTGGGAGATGGAATTTATACTGTGTTCAGTAACATTTGTGACCACTTCCTTCAGTGCTGTGTGAATTAATAATTAATGAACAGTTTTGGTTCCAAACGTTAGTCAGTAAACTAAGGGATCTTGTGCTTTTCTCCACTGGCCATTAGCATATAGAGTCAGAGGGAAGTGCACGTTATCTGTCAGTTTGTCGTTGTTGTTGTTAGGTGCCGTCAGGTCGATTTCGACTCATAACGACCACATGTGACAGAACTGCCCCATAGGATTTTTTAGGCTGTAATCTTTACGGGAGCAGATCACCGGGTCTTTCCCCCACGGAGCCGCTGAGTGGGTTCAAATTACAAACCTTTTGGTTATCAGCTGAGTGCTTAACCATTTAAAAAGGATCCCTTGGTGGCGCAATGGTTATGCGCTCAGCTGATAATTGAAAGGTTGGTGGTTTGAACCTGTCCAACAGCTATTCGAGAGAAAAACCTTACCTGCTCCCAGAAAGATTATAGAGATTGCAGCCTAGAAAACCCTAGAGGGCAGTTCCGCTGTGTCACATGGGGTCACTATGAGTTGAATATTGACTCAGTGGCACTCAACAACAGCAACAATTGAAAAAAAATTTATTTACATGGGAAATATGTTGGGGGTGATTATTTGATTTACAAAGATATTCATAATTTATTTTTTTATATAAGCAACCCTCTGCACTTACATTGAGTTTTGATTTACCGAAATTCTATTTCTTATATAACCGTTTAGAAACGTACTATGTAGAGATGTTAGTATACTTCTATCATTATATTTCATCTAGTGATTAGCGATCTTGTTTATTATATATATCTGTTACCCCAAAAGGCAGCTTTCCATCTATGTTCCCCAAAGCCTTAGAGTTCCACAGAGAGACTTCTCAGTCGGCTTTATAGGGGAAGAGAGGCCTGGTGGTTGGGGCTCTGTGTTTTCCACATTCTTCTCATTCCCTACCTCTTTCAACAGAGTAGCTTTCCTGATAATCTTTCTAATTTGAGAAAGGGGTTGCTGCAGCTCTGGGTTGGAAACTACTGTTTTAACTTAATAACTCTCCGTATATAGTCCAAATTGTAGTGTAGCTACATGACCTTTTATATTTCATAATAGAGTTATAGGTCAAATCTTAGAATCAGAGGTTTGTAAACCCTAACTAATGGACTGCTTATCTTAAATTTGATAGAATTAATGCTCATTTATTGAAGTATTTGAACACTTCTTGATATTCATTATAATGGGATTTCACATGTAAAAACTATTACTGTTAAACAGAAGCTGTAATTCTGCCTAGTTTAACTGCGTTTAATTTTCTTGCCCAAAATTGTCTGCTTGTCTAAAAAACATTTGCTACCAGGTGGAGATACAATTATTGATTGTATTAGGTCATTGTTCTCAATGAAGTAAGAGTTCCATGGTCAAATAAGTTTGAGAAAGTTTGCATATTATGTCCTTCTCCTGGACAGTCACAATACATACTCAGACGCTAAAGGTTTTGAGATATCATACAGTAAATTCACGAAGGATTTCCCAAATGTATTTGACCATAGAATCCCAGTTTTAAGCAACAACTGTTAAACTCCATGAACTATACTAGGTGACTAAGGAATACTTGTTTCTCTGGATGTATTTTATTGATAAGAACAATTGAAATTTCTATTCAAATTTCTTTCATAAGCAATGGCCTTTTTACTTCATATTTTAATGTTTAAAATCTTTTATTTTATAGATAGTGAGAACGTTATGCCTTTTTCTGACTCCAGCAGAGAGAAAATGCTCCAGATTATGTGAAACTGAATCATCATTTAAATATGAGTCAGGGCTCTTTGTACAAGGCCTGCTAAAGGTAGAGTTTACATTTATCACAAGTGAAACCAATTTTTTTAAAATCATTCTTGAGACTCTAAAAATATATTTTAAATATTGGCATTTAATGCATCTTATGTTTATATACCCAAAGGCTGACTTCCTTTTCCCTACATCATAGGTCTGAGCATAGAGTATATACCTTATGGATTTATAGTTAATAGCATCAGTGAAACTCCACAGAATATCCTTCTTTTGTTCTAGTTTGGTTGCCTATAGCTGTGTGTCTGGCCTCAGGATTTTTTTTTCTTTTCTTTTTATACATGATTGAATCAAATTACACATCTGAAATGGGAACATTTCTTTTTACTGAACAGATTTGAATTTTGGTGTTAACCGTTGTGCATGTATGTACCATATTCATTTATTGGAAAAAAAATCTAAGCTGCTCTCTATCTTGAAAGTATATAGGATTTGACCAGTTCATATATATGTACACACGTGTGTATACGTATATATAGATGCACACATATATATATATATATATATACATATATATATATATATATGGTACAGGACATACATACATATATGTATATGGTACAGGGCCAGACAGTGTTTTGTTCAGTTGTACATAGGGTTGTTATGAGTCAGAATTGACTCAAAGCTATCTAACAACACCAAAAATATATGTATATCTACATATATTTACATATATATTAAAAATTATATTTTTCTTTAATTTAATTGACTCTTTTCAAGGATCAAAACAGATAAACTGTAAATTTGCACTTATCTTTAATAATTAAAGGGAAGAAAATTGTTTGCATTATTGAATCTGTTACTGATGTTTCAGTTATAGCCCTGAAGAAGATGACTTGAAGGAGCGTCTTTCCTAATGGTTATTTGATCCTCTCCTAGTGAATGCTTTCTTGAGGATGTGAGCATGACAAAATAAGGGGAAAAAAGTGAAAAATTGATACAAGTAAAAATTTCATCCAGTTTTTACATTTTCAATAATATTCAGGCTGAGCTCAGAATAATAGTATTTAAATACAGTAACTAGTTGAAGCAAATACATTCCTAATATAAATTGTACATATCTGAAAATTAGAACTCCTTCCATTTGAAGGCATAGTAAAGTGCCTAATGTTTTTATTTCTTCAGCAACATCTCATTTAATTATATAATTTTAGCCTTTATAGACCTGTGCCACATGTATAGAGAAAACCTTGAAACTGATTTAATGGAAAAAATATTTGTTAAGAGTTCTCCATGAAAGTATAAATTGTATGCCCTTCTAAGAAATAAATTGACATATATATCAAGAGCCTTAAAAATGTATAAAACCTTTAACTTACTGTTTCTACTTCTGAAAATCCATCCCAAGGAAACAACTACATACGGAGAAAATTTATTTACAAAGACAATTATCACAGCCCTGTTTATAAGAGTGAAAAATTGGAAATAGCCTTCTGTCTTCTATCCGTAGCACATAGCACAGTATTTCCTACACAGTAGGTGTTCATTACATGGTGACTGGCCAACCAACTATACCTGGAAAAAGTGAAATATTTTCTTACTATAAAAATACATATTCAGATTTACAAAGAGCATATAAATAATCAAGAAGAAAAAATGTCACTTGTAATCTCATAGTCAAGTGAATAACCTCTTAATATTGGGCATCTTTCTTGTCTTTTCTTCTTTGTATTCATTTTTTTATACCCCCCCCCCAAAAAAAAATTGAATTATACTCTACATGATCTAACCTGCTTTTTCTTTCAGTGTCAACACATAAACTACAGCAGCTTCATTTTTAGCAGCTAAATAATAAACCATTTTTATTTGTTTAATCACTTCTCTGTTGGATGCTTACATTACTTTTGATGTTTTAGTATTAAAACCAGTGCTGCCGTGAACACTCCTGTCACTAAAACTTTGCTCACTAAAACTTTGCACACAATCATGATTAATTTCTTAGTGTAAATTTTTAGAGACGAATTTGCTAAATCAAAGCCAGTTTTTTTTTTTTTTTCCTCATTCAAAAATAATTCTTCGTATATTTTGGCCTATAGGAAAAAGTAACTCTTCCTTTCATTATGACAGGATTCAACTGGAAGCTTTGTGCTACCCTTCCGGCAAGTCATGTACGCTCCCTATCCCACCACGCACATAGATGTGGACGTCAATACTGTCAAGCAGATGCCACCCTGTCACGAACATATTTATAATCAGCGTAGATACATGAGATCAGAGCTGACAGCATTCTGGAGAGCCACTTCAGAGGAAGACATGGCTCAGGATACGATCATCTACACAGATGAGAGCTTCACTCCTGATTTGTATGTAATGTTCTTGCCTTTTGCTTGTTATTAAGCAGTAGTAGGAAACTGTATCATGTATGAGTGACAGCAAAACAAACAAACTAGACTGTTTGAAGGGAAAGAGATATTAGCAGAATTATGTATGAAGAAACATGTCTTGGTCAAGCATGTTTTCTTAAATGCCCACTCTTCTTAATATAGTTGTGTTTCTTCTAAGATAGGTTAGATCAACCCTTAAAAATAAATATTTAAGAATTTATTTAACAAATATAAGTTGAGAACCTAGGCACTGTACTAGGTGCTGGGAATAATAGTCAACAGGGCAGCCCTAGCTCTTAAATTGCTTGTAGTTAAGTGTATAACAGTCAGTGTAACGGTCATTCAAGAGGCTTCTTAACCAAAAAAGTAATTCCAAGACTTTTTTTCTTAACATATAAATGCAAAAAACAGCAAAAATTGTCAAAATAAACAGGGTGTTCTTTTTGTATTTTATGTTGTGCTACTCATTTTCTACCACAAAGTCAGGTAAGTAAAGTAAACAGAGAAAAAGGCATGATAAAATGTTGTATGTGGACCTTCCCAATTAGGGAGGAAAAAAAAAAAGATAATATATCTGTAATCATAAAACCACTTTAATGTTCTGAAATCAGAAAAAGAATTGTAATATATTATTGTGGTTCTCTTTAATCAATAAAGTACATAGTGCCTGGCACAGAGAATGTGCTCAGTAAATGTTAACTATAATAACCCAGGTTTAAGTGTGTAAGGCAGCAGTAAAATGGCACAAGGAACCCGGTCCTGTGTTTCTGAGAAAGGTTTTAAGCTGAGACAACAGACACGGGGAGTACCATTAGCTACACAGAAGGTGTTGACCAAACGTGTAGAATAAGGACAACCATGTCCAAGAGATCCCCAGCGTCACGTGTCTCTGGGTACAGAAATATGACTGAATATAGGACCCATCTTTCCTCAGCTCTGCAGTGCTCCTTGTTGCTATCTTAGAAAGTTTTAGGGGAATTGGATTAGCAAATAATTTGGTCAAAATTGGAATTCCAGATCCCTAAATTTTCACATACTGGTAATTTTGGTACATGTGTGGAAGTTGTCATAATTAGTTTGTACTTCCACTTTTTTGGTTGTTTGGGAGCTTTTGATGGAGAATTTAGTGAACTTAAAATGCATTTGCAATCATTTAGTATTTTTGTTTACTTTTTAGAGGAGGTATGTGTGTATCCTTTTAACATATCTTACTCATTTTTAGCCAGCTATTCTTGTTTTATTGGTTTGATGATAATGTCATGAATTTTTAAATTTTGTTTCCACCTCTAAGTAAATTTTCAGAACATAAAATTGCCCAGAAACAATATTTTCAACCACTAGGTTGTGTGTTAACTTTTATGTACATGGATTAATTTTACCCTAATGCATTTTCAGCAGTATCATTTATTCTTTAGTTATCTTCCATTATAACGTTTTAAAATAGTTTCACTCATTGCTAATACATGAAAATTCAGTTACTGGAAATGCTCTTTTTTTTTTTAACAACTTTTTAAAATCCAGTTCACTTAATGACCAAGACATTTCATTCAGTGAGATAGGTATATTCAGAACACTGGACTTGGATAGTCTATTCTCTCTCCAAGGCCGGAGGAGTGCTGTCAGGGCCCACATCAGCCACCAGTAGGACAGCCAGTCTTTGTGAAATGCTGATTTTTTTTTCCCTTCTTAGTTTCCTTCTTCCATAGTTTGGCATAGCCACCTCCTAAAACTAGGATATTTGAGGTACTGTGTATTTGCTTCTACACGCACGCCCAGCCTCTTTCCTTGCCACTCCTGGCATTATATGATGGTCCCTACTGTTTCCAGTTCTTTTCAGTTTAAAATCTTACCTTATTAAATGTTTTATTACCCCTGTGACCTGAGGATAACTTAGCATTCCAGTAAATTCTTTAGGAAAGTAGCAGGCAAGGAGAGTGAAGAAGTAAGAGAAGAAAATGAAGGGGCTGGGAAAAGAACAATTTTTAAATTTGTTTTGGCATCTACTATATCTTAGGTCCTATGTTAGATGCACATCATACGAAGTGTGAATTATGGCTTGAATTCTCACCGTTGATCATTGCCAGGGTAGTTAACACTTTCTGAGGTAGCTGGTTCATGTCACTTGCCAGATGGTGAGACTGTGGATGAAAACCCCGTGGGCCTGATGTTTCAGATAATTATCTGGGTGTGTTCCTTTATCCCATTCTAATGTTTCTTAACATTCCTCCCTTTACCTTTTTTCTTCCTGAACTGCTTATTAGAAGTTACTGTATATAAAGTTAAGCTTTTATATTTTGTTTTGTTTATTGGTTGTAGTGATGGTGTGTTTATTTTTGTTGTGTTATTTTCAGCATTTTTTAAGATAGCAAGAATTGATAATTACACTTACTAATTGCCTAAGGCTGTCTTCCTTGATTTTTATTTATTTATTTTTTAGTAAGGTAGGTAGATGTATATATATGTACCTTTCCTGAGAACCGCTCATACTCTTTAGAAAAATAATTGCATCCTGACAGACTCCAGTAGTATACAGATGTATTCTGGAGTTAAAAATGAATATATGTTTTATTTCTTCAAATACATACATACAGATATGTATCTTTATATTTATACAAATATGTTTATATAATGTCCCAATTCTAAGAATTGAATTTATTGGCTGGGGTGAGGAAGTGTAGAAAGTAGCATTGTGTAGCCGTTTCAACCTTTTGACTTTGTTTTTCTTCATAGGAACATTTTTCAAGATGTTTTACATAGAGACACTCTAGTAAAAGCCTTCCTAGATCAGGTAAATGTTGAACCTGAGATTGTCAGAATGAATGATGTGACATGTTTTATATCCTATGGTGCCTGTACTGCGTGTAGCATTATAGAATTGTCTCTGCTCTTTCTGAAGTATGTAAATGATCTTTCTTTTGATGGAGTGGCCTGTATATTAACACTTAAGATACAACATTTCCCCAGTTCAACTAAGAAATATTTTCATTTCAAGCACTAACCTATGACTAAAGAAAGGGTTTTTTTGTTTGTTTGTTTTTTGTTTTGGGGGGGAATATTTATTTATAGGAGCCCCGGTGGCACAGTGGTTAAGCTAACTGAAAGATGGGCAGTTTGAACCCACCAGCTACTCCGTGGGAGAAAGATGTGGCCGTCTGCTTCCGTAAAGATTACAGCCTTGGAAACCCTATGGGGCAGTTACTCTGTCCTATAGGGTCACTATGAGTCAAAATAGACTCAACAGCAGCTGGTTTGGTTTTTTGGTTTTTGGTTGTTTATTTGCCTTAATTGAACAAAAATGTCTTATAAAAGTTAGTATCACTTCTCTTTAAAGAATACCATCTTTATTGTCTCATTCTTTTGAAAAATCTACTTAATTGTGCATTTGAAGAAAATTATAGATAACATGGGACTTATTTCTCAATAGAACAGAGCCTTGTCATAATCCTGTTCTGGGGATCAGGCCAGGAAACTGTTATTGATGTAACTTTGAAGTAATGAAATCCTTATGTTAACTAGAAATTTTGGATCCAGGTCAGTATGGTCTGTGACATATTGCAGAGTTTAAAGATAATTCGTTGTGCTGTAATTCCATGCTTTTCAAGCTGAAATAAAACCCCTTCACCCCCTTCTCTCCCTACACGTGCACCCCCAACAGTGTCAGGATATGTGTGTCTCAAAACCATAGTATAAACATGGCTCAACTTCTGCGAGCTTCGATTTTATTTGAAGATGTGGGCAGAAAATGTCAGGTAACACAACTGGAAGTAGCTTATATCACGATTTTTAATATTAAAATAAACGTGGATTTATTTTGAGGTAGAATGCAAAATTTGAATACACTGTCAGATTGCTTCCAGACCCACGGCTTCCATCACACTCCTGTTTGTTAGGGGGCACTGGTGGAAATGATTGAGGAGGAGCGCTCTAAAGTACAGTATCTGCCAGACACCACTGTGATGGAAACATGCTGTATAATCAGAATGGGAGAAAGTTATTTACACAAATGATTCCCTTTCCTGCAGGTCTTCCATTTAAAACCCGGTTTATCTCTCAGGAGTACTTTCCTTGCACAGTTTCTACTCATCCTTCACAGAAAAGCGTTGACATTAATAAAATATATAGAAGATGATACGTAAGTAAAATTCCTTTACAGAAGAAAAACCTGGTATATTGTGTTTTGTTTTGTTCCCTTTGGACATCTTCTATATTAAATTTTTTTTTTATTTTTTTTTGTAGGCAGAAGGGGAAAAAGCCCTTTAAATCTCTTCGGAACCTGAAGATAGACCTTGATTTAACAGCAGAGGGCGATCTTAACATAATAATGGCTCTAGCTGAAAAAATTAAACCAGGCCTACACTCATTTATCTTTGGGAGACCTTTCTACACTAGTGTACAAGAAAGGGATGTTCTGATGACTTTTTGAATGTGTAGCTTGTTAATTATGTTTCATCACAATCATGATCGCTGTTAAAGTAGCTCAGTGGCGTGGGGAATGTCATTCCCTCTGGTCATGCCCCCAGAGTCCTACTCAGCAATTGCAGTTAAAGGTTACTTACACTACAGTTGTCAGAGAAATCTGTAAGGGAGTGTCAGCTGCATCGTGAGAATGGATGCCTCTTTTCCTGGGTGAACTCTCTTGGGATACAGACTTATGTTTACAATTATAATAAAAATTACTGCTATCTTTTAAAGATAAAATGGTAATAGGATATAAACTTGACCACAACTGCTGTTTTTCTGAAACTTATGATTCATGGTTTACATATATCAAAGTGAAATCTGGGTTAGCTTTAACTAGATAGAATACTAGTTGACTTTCCATCTTTTAGTGTTCCTTGGTGTGTGATTTTTGCTGTAATACTTTTGCAGTCAACTGAAAATGAGTGCATATGAATCATTTACCGTTCCACAGAAAGGAAGTCATCTTGAACATAGGTTAAGCTTTAGAAAGAAGATATTGATCAAGCAGATGTTTAATTGAAAGTAATGATTAGACCCTGTTTTGTAGACTTGGTCTCTAGGATTCAGTCTGTTTAGAAATGTCGGGCGCTGTGTATAGTCCCTGATTGTGGTGAACCACAGTCAGGTTATTTTGTTTGTTTTATTGTTATGGGTGTTAATTATCCTGTATAGCTGAGCGCTGTCCAAGAAAATATAGGTAATTGGATTTTATGTTTTAGGAGTTGTTGCCACTTTTAAAATTAATTTTTAGTAGTTTTGAGCCAAACTGAACTGTGCACCTCCTGTGCCTTTTTTTCCTTGGAAAATATGATTACTTGGAAGAAGTTTAGATTTCAGTAGTCAGTCATTTTCATCTTGTTTTCCTCTTGCACATTCTTGCCTTGTACCTGATTTTGGCAATCATTGTAACTTGGAGATTGTAAAATGCAGTAGAGAAGATACTAGCTAGTAAGATCTTTTTTCAGGAAAAGAGAACAGTTTCTGCCCGTATTTTTTAACTTGTTGCCATGTGTGTTTGCCTGCATCATATGAGGAATAGCTGGAGGAACTTTACTAAAGTGCTACTTTACGAGGTGCTACTTTGGCAGAACTAAGTGGTCTGTTTCTTTTATTTCCTTAATGTGTTTGGACCATTTTGCTAGCTATAAAATAACTAACATATTTTTGTGCTAGAACAGAGTTGACATATTGTACACAAACACAGATATTTTTATTTAAAACTGTGGAAGTAACGCAAAAGGGAAAAAATGTTTCTAAGAAACGGATAAAAGTGATAGACACCCCCATGCCTACATCCGCCAAATGTAACCAAAAAGAACACATTCTGTTCTGAAAAGTCATAATAGCCTTTCACATCGTGAATAAGAAAGGTACAGGCATCTTGGGTTTTAGACTTACACTGAACTAGATGACTGATTTCAGTATTTGCTCAGTCATGAAAAAGTTAATAATAGCACCTTATACTGTCCTATAGTTAGTGCTTTTTACAGAATAGATTTCTTATTTAAATACTGACTGATTATTTTATTTTGCTGGTTTTATTCTACTGTCACACAGAATGCAAGTTGTACAGTGAAATAAGTTATTAGAGCATGTGTAAACATTGTTATGTATCTTTTCTCCTAGATGGAGAATTTTGAATAAAATGTCTTAGAAATTCTGTCTCTTCGAGTTATTTATTCGGGAAAAGCAATACCGTGATATTAGAAGATGATTAGCTTCTGTCTTGTATCTAAACCATTTCTTTTCTTAATTTTGTCTTTTGAAAGAAAATATATTTAGAAATTTTCTATAATAGTGGAATCTTGTGTTTAGGGGAAAAAAAACTTTCTGCTTAACTTCTAGGGTTGCATTTTAATTTTTTTAAAGTATGAATATTTCAAATGGAAAATCATACTTAGCTAAATTCTTTTTTAAAAAATTCCTGTTATAATAATATTAACATGACCCAAATTGAAGTTATTCATTCCATGTATCCAGTACAGGTGTTCAGAGTAAAAGTGTAAAGAATGTAAACACTTTATAAAACAAGAAATAAAATTTACGTTTTTCACTCCAGGAAAAAAGTGTCATTTGTGAGTCTAACTGTTGAAGTAATTCTTTAAAAGAAGATTGATTCATTATATTACTGAGAGTCTCAAAGATGAAAGCAAAACATCATATAATGCTATAAAGTAAATATAAGACAGTTACTTCTTTCATATATTTTTATAATGCTGGGGTTAAACAGAAAGATAGTGAAATCTTATCTAGCACACTATTTTGGTTTGGGTGTACAGTTGTACAAAGTAATATTTTTCCTAGATCTGCAGCGTATAGCTTAAAGTTATAAAATAGTTAACCACCTCAGTTAACACACACCACCCACTGGACATTCTCAATCATCACAATACACTATAAAGCAGGTATTTTTTTCATTATCTGGATGAGGAAACTAAAGCTTAAAGAAGTAAAGTATGTTGCCTAAGGTCATACAGCTGTTGAGTAGTAAAGTTGGGTTTCAAGCCAGGCAGTTTCACTGGCTGCCATGCAGCCCAGCACCTAGCACCGTGCCTCCGTATAGTAGTACTCGTGTTATTAACTGAAAGAAGGGAAATGTAAGTATTGAGGGCCTACTAACATTCTACAGTGCCCAAGTGTGAATCCTTGTTATGCTGCCTGGGGAAGTTACTTAAACTCCCTGAAGCTCATTTTTTAAATATTTAAAATGAGCAGAGGGATGATAATAACTACCTCACATGATCTTTTAAAAAATTTAAGGGGTTTGTCTCAGTACCTGACAGGTACTTAATGCCTGCTTTTTTTGTCCAGTCTGCCAGTCTCTACCTTTTAATTGGGGGTGGCATTAACATTTAATAGCATTAAGATTTAATGTGATTATTGATACAGTTAGGTTAAATCTCTCATCTTGCCGTTTGTTTTCTATATGTTCCATTGTTCTTTGTTCCTTTTTTTCTTCTTTTTCTGCCTTCTTTTGCATTACTTGAGTATTTTTTTATAGTTCTGCTTTATTTCCTTTGTTGGCTTGTTAGCTGTAACTTTGTTATTTTCATGACTGCTTTAGGGGTGTAATGAGACTCCCTGGGTGGTGCAAGTGATTTTTCTTTTCTTTGGTTAGGGTTATAATATACATCTTATCAGTCTGTCTTTAAGTGATATACCATTTGATGTGTAGTATAAGAAAGAGTAGTATACTTTCATTTCTCCCTTTTCACCTTTGTGCGGTTGTGGTCACATATTTTACTTCTACATATGACATAAACACCAAAAATCTAAACCAAACCAGTTGCCATCTAGTCAGTGATGATCCCGTGTGTTTCAGAGTAGAACTCTACTGCATAGGATTTTCAGTGGCTGTGATCTTTCAGAAATAAATTGCCAGGCCTTTCTTTCAAGGCACCTCTTAAGTGGATTCAAACCACCAACAATACATGAAGCAAAAACTGAGAGAACTGTAAGAAGAAAGACATCCATAATAATTGTCAGATTTAAATATTTCTTCTCAACAATGTTTGCTAGAACAAGAAAACAGAAAATCAGTAAGGATATAGAAGACTTGAACAACACTATCAACCAACTTGATGTAGTTGACATTTTATAGAGTACTCAACAACAGAAGATTATACATTCTTTCTTGGAGACATGGAACAACAAGATGGACCATATTCTGAGTCATAAAACAAGTCACAATAAATTTAAAAGGATTCAAGCCATACAAAACATGTTCTCTGATCACAATGGAGTTAAATTAGAAACCAATAACAGATATCTGGAAAAACTTTAAATATTTGGAAACTAAATAGCACTTTTAAAAGATTAGGTAATTTCCAAATTGTGTGTGTGTGTTTGGAGGACAAGCAAGAATGAGTTCAGGGAGCAGGAAGAGAGATAGCAGAGTGTTGTGGAATGATTTTTCTAAAGAGTGAAACTAATCCTGCTTTGATGTCTCTCCCCACTACAGTCCATTCTTCACATTAATAACAGTATGATCCTTTAAAATCTGATTATCACTTCTGCTTTAAATGACTTTCCATCAAGTCCAGAATCCTTGAGACAAAATATTCATCTCTTTCCACCAGTCTGTGTAGTATGTATTTCTTTTGTTGCCTTTATTGCGTTATTCCTTTGGTTGTCTGTCTTCCCCTTTAGTTTAGAGGGGAGGATCCATGTGTTTCATTTTTTGCATGCCAGTATGCTGGGCACAGGGCATGCTTCCAGTAAATATTAGTTTAATGAATATAATATGAAACATTCTTTTCTGTGTCTTTTCCAAAGAGAAGATTCATTCCTTGCAAATTGGGATAAATGCTTTCTTTGTAATCAGAAACTTTTTTTTTTCTTTCTGAAAGTCCTTCATTAAAATTGAGCCTATGCACAACCTAGCTCTAAAATTTCAAAGACCTTAGGCAGTGATTTTCAATCTTTTTGAAGTAGTAACACCCTATCATTTTCTGTTTCTGCATTTGTGCCTCACTATTTAGTCTCTTGCTGAAATGTTCTTTTTAAATTAACTGCTTGATGAATTGCTAAGCAGTTTTCATCAGACTAATTAGGACAATGGTAAGTATCCATCTGTGGAGCGTGGACATTCAAGAAATCTGATCCAGTATTTAGAAACTCATTCCTGAGCTTAGAGTTGGCTCAAACTGGCACCTTCTGGCATTTGCTTGTGGGTGAGAAATGTGGAATGCTTTGAAAGCTGAATGGGTTTGTCAAGTTTTAAAACTCCCTTATGGCTAAAGCAAAACAACATTCATTGTTTGTTTGTTTTTTCTGCTTTTCTGTTCTTTGGATCCTGGATCTGCAAAAACACTTACACCCAGCATTTTGCTTCATGTACCTCTCCTAAGATGCTTCTGAAGATGTGAGTGATGTGGAAATCTTTTTATTGTGATTGTCCAGGATGTTCAGAACAAATGGAAAAAGTCAGCTTTAATGCTTGTGATGAATTTTATGGAGAAGGACCATATTTCTGCTTGTCATTGCAGGCATATAGTAGAGTAGTTACGAGCATGGGTCCTGGGGCCAGAATAAACCAAAAAAAAAACCCAAAGCTGTTGCCATCGATTCTGACCCATAGTGACCCTATAGGGCAGAGTAGAACTGCTCCATTGGGTTTTTAAGGAGCGGCTGGTGGATTCCAACTGCCAACCTTTTGGTTAGCAGCCATATCACTTAACCACTGCACCACCAGGGTTCAAATCCCTGTTTTTATACTTCCCAGCTGTGTGACCTTGGACAAGATATTTAATCTCCCTGTGCTGCCTCAGTATCGTCATCTATTCAACAGAAATAAGAATAGAACCTACGCCATAGGATTGTTTAAAGATTAAATGGGTTAACATGCAGAATGCTTGGAAGGGTAACTGGCACAGAGTAAGTACATGATAAAATTTAGTCGTTGCTGTTGTTACCATCATCATCATCACAGGAAAGAGTGCAAGTGAGGTGCTATCCAGAGGTCTTACCCTGTTTCAAATCTGCTAACTTCAGTTCATTTCCATTGCCACTATTAGGATCCTTATCATCTCTCATCCAGATTAATCCAGCAGCTTCTTACCTTCTGGTCTCCACGATTTCACTCATTACCTACCCTTCTACCGCCTGCTCAATTCATTTCCACATAGGAGGCAGAGAGATCTAATATGAAACTTAGATCTCCTCTCTCCCTTGCTTTAAAAACGCTCGGTGACAACTTGTCTCAAGAAAAAGCCTACAATCCGTGGTGAAACACAAGGCTTCAGGGATTTGATCCCAGCAAATCTCTCCATCCTTTTGTCTTCCCACTCATCCCCTCAGGTGGGGAGCTAGTGAACTATTTTAGTCCCTCCAACTCACCTCGCTCTCTCATCACTGGGCCTTTGCACATGGCTGCCCCTGCTGCCTGGACTATGCTCACCCCCTTCACCTGGATGAACTTGTTAATCAGGATTCACCTTAAGTAGGTGTCCTGTTCTAGACCCCTACCCCAACTTTGGATTTAGAGCATTCCAGACTTTAAGCTTCATGAGGGCAGAGACCATGCCGTACACCAGCCTATGCCTAATTGCCTGGCATATAATGTTTATTAAGTAAGTGTTAGACTGAATACTTAGGGCTCTCTTCAGTATCTGTGCTTATAGCATTGCAGCTAACTCATTATTATGCATTACTATTATGAGTTTATTTGTGTCTCCCATTATACCATGAGCTCCCACAAGGCTGGGTCCTTCTCTTATACATCATTTTGTCCCCAGCTTCCAGGATAGTGCCTGCCATGAAGCAGTAAGTACTGAAAGAATGAATATTACATACCATTGACATCCAGTTTAAAGTTTCCTCAAATTCTGAAGCAAGGGGACTTGTGGACCTCTGACAGTTCTTGGATGCTATCCCAATGATACTACTGAAATTTTAAGCAAAATTTGCATGTATATACATTTTTCTAAGTGGTGGATCCATGGCCTCCATCAGATTCTCAAAGGAGCTTCTGATCCCCCAAAATATGAGAATCTATGTCCTGAAGAGTTATTTTTTATAATTGTTGTGAAATAAAATATTTGCAAGTTAGATCGATGAGTCATTGCAGGCTGTTTGACCTAGTGAGGCAGGGGCCTTGTGCCTCCACAATTGCTGCTCGACTGTGGCAGTTCCAGTTGGCTGCAGTGTTTCTTGGATGAATATCCAGTTGCCTGTCCCCCCTCCCACACACACACCTGTAGGAGCAGTTTGCTTGGCCCTCCTGGTTCTAGAAGCATCAAGAATTTAAGCACCTGGAATAAGCACCATATAGCATTTTAACTTGGCATCCTAGGAGCACATGTTTTTCTGTTCAAAGCTCAGAACCTTCTTAAATCCAATTTGGCTAGACATTTTCTCTGGCTTCCACTCGGCATTTTTTTCTGGCTTAGACCCACGCAAACAAGAGGAGACTAGAGGTCCTCTAAGGAGCTAAGAAAAAGCACATTTTAAAAATAACTTCAGCAAATGAATTCATCTGGCAAAAGCAACCCAGCTACGTAAAATAAACTTCTTTAGAGTTTCACAATAGCAGTTCCTGAAAATGTAAACAACCGTATGGTCCATGTGAGCTGAGTTACTTGCTAAACAGAAAGAGTCCCCGGTCCCAAGCCTGGGGGAGTAAAAAACACCTTGGAGCTCTGCTAGTGCAGTTATTAAGAGCTCATATGCTAACCAAAAGGTCGGCAGTTTAAATCCACCAGCCCCTCCTTGGAAACCGTATGGGGGCAGTTCTACTGTGTCCTACAGGGTTGCTATAAGTCAGAATTGACTCAACGGCAACGGGTTTGTTTTGGTTTTTATAGAATTAAGGGCCAATGGAGCCCTGGTGGCACTGTGGTTAGGTGTTCAGCTGCTAACTAAAAGGTCAGCAGTTTGAATCTACCAGCTGCTCCTTGGAAACCCTATGGGGCAGTTCTACTCTGTCCTATAGGGTTGCTATGAGTTGGAATCCAGTCGATGGCAACGAGTTTGGTTTGTTTTTGTGGGAACAAGAAGGGGATGACCCAACCCAAAGGTAGTGAGGAAGTCTCATGACTAAATGCTCGAAGTGCTGGCTTTTCAAACTGAAAACCAGGATGGTGTGGGCGTGGGGGGCTACAGCCTATGCCTCTGGCTCTTGCTCAGACCCTACAAGCCCATGCCTTCCCTAGGGAAAGCTAGAGTCTACTTGCTCTCATGAAGTCAGAGGAAGCCCTGCAGTTTTTACCGTGTGTTCTCTGACAAGATAATGGTTCCATTGAAACTGTAAAAACATACTTGGCCAGCGAAGCCTATACTATGACGTTAAGTTGGTGCCCACTCCTAGTTTTTTCAAGCATATTACATTTACATTCTTTCTAATGAACCCCATGCTGTTATAATAAACTTATGCTGAGTTTATCTCAGTACTAGAATAATTCTTATTATAAATAATAAACACAATTATGGTAGTGATCTCCTTCAAAAACCTGAAAGGACTTTCTCATTCCTTAGCAGTAGTCAGCTCCTTTCTGGGTGGGGAGCACTGTGCTAAAATAAGTATCTTAGAAGGGCTAGAACTTGGAGGAATTCAGAGAAAGGGCACAAGAATCATTTTTAAAGACTAGAAAGTATAAACCATGGGAAAGGATAAAAGAACTTGGTATTATTTATCTTGGAGTTGTGGAAAAGGTTGGTAAAACTTAATATTGTTTTTCAGGTACACAAAGGATAATGCTAAAAGTAGCTGCTATTTATTGAGTGCCAGCTATGTGCCAGGTGCTTTACAGGTAGTTTCTCATTTAACCCTCACAACAACCTTCTAAAGCGATATCTTCATGGTACATGATGAGCACACTGAAGCATAGGTTAAATGATTGTCCAAACGTGGTAGACATTTTTCACAAATATTGTTTTGTTTGTTTGTTTTCTCTTTTCCCACCTAGAAGGTGGATTGCACATTCCTTTCTGTTGAATGCAGGCATGGCCACATAACTCACTTTGGCCAAAGAAATGTGAACAAGGGACATGTGTCACTTTCAGACAGAAATTTAGAGAGCTAGTGTGAGACTTGCCTGTTTTTCACTCTGCCACAGTGGCCATCAACATTCCAGGTAGTGACTGCTCTGACAGCCTAGTCCTACAGTGGGGACTACTGGAGCAGAGCCCCCTTTCACACCCACATCAACTAAAGATGTGCATGTTACGTAAGTAAGACATTAACCTTTATAGTTTTAAGCCACTGAGTTTGAGGGGTTGTTTATTTCTGTAGCAAAACCTAGTCTTATCCTTACTAATATATCAAGTCACCTAGCTGACTAGAAATTGGCCTGCCTCCACAGCCCACACCATATTCTTCACTAACATGCTGCCTTCCAGGCAGAGAATGGTAGCTAAGTGTCTTCTACCTAATTTGAGGACCAGAAAAGATGGTCATTATCTGCAGTGTCAGGGGTCAGATCAAGACTGATGTTTAACACCAGAAGTGGGGAGGATTGGAGGATACTACTATTAAAGATTTATTCAGAAGAGAAAAATAGTTACTATTTTGTTGTATTTACTTCCAGTGCACATTTTAAATGTGCACTCTGAGTATATTTTCTCAGAGAGAATTGTACTTAAGAGAAATTTTCTTAACAGAGTTCCTGGCTTGGAATCGTTTTCTCTGTTTCAGTGTTTCTCTCTGGTTTCGTCTGAGCTTATTTTCTAGTAGACTCAACGTCTTAGGCTGAGTTTTCTAGAGAAGCAAAACCAGTAAAGTGTATAAATATATATAGAGAGAAATATCAAGGAAATGGCTCACACAGAAGTAGAAGCTGGAATGTCCCAAGTTTGTGGGTCAGACTGGAGGCTTCTCCTGATTCACTTAGCCACAGGGGCTGGTGAACGCAAGACTGGCAGGTCAGACAGCAGGGCTGTGGCTCACAGGCTGCAAAGACCAACAGATTCCAAGATTGGCAGGCAAGATGGCAGGTAAGCTGCTAGCTCAAGTCCCGAGAAGCAGAGGTCAGACAAACAGGAGCCAGCTGTAGGATCCAGAGTGAGCAAAAGCCCAAGAGCCTTGCTAGAAAGTCCACCTATATAGGATGTAGGCCATACCCCCAAGGAAACGCCCCTTCAACTGATTGGCTACTCACAGCAGATCCCGTTATGGAGGTGATCACATTATATAAAATCTCATCATAGAGGTGATCATATCATTATATGACTGCCAAACTACATCATAACTACCAAACCTCTGAGAATTATGGCCCAGCCAAGTTGACACACAACCTTAACCACCACACCCAACAACCATAACCTTTTCCTCTACTAGTCAGCATACAAGATGTTCTTCATTTCTGGTCGGTCTACCAGGAACCTGAGAATCTTAATCTGGGTTCCCCCAAAATCAGAGCCTGAGACAAGGACTTGAGTACAGTTAGTTTATTTGGGAGGTGATCCTAAGATGCAGAAGTGAGAGAACAGATGGACTGGAACAAGAAGGAAGAAAAGCCAATATAAGGATACATTTGAAAATTAGCTCCTTTAGGTAACTGCGGCTCAATTCTGTTTGGATCTCTAAGAATCATAAAAAATGCATCCCAGAATTGTTCACCTCAAGGATAGGAGGATCCTATTGGTTGTTCCTCGGGGCATTAACTAGTCCCCCC